CCTGGCGCAATATGGTTCATGGGGTCACGAAGAGTCGGACACGACTTAACGACTAAACAACAACAACAACATCTTAAAGTTGCTGAGGTTGAGGAACCCTGCTCTAAGTGGATGGCCATATGTCCAAGCGGCTACACGAGATCCTGTCCTGGGCAGGGGGCTCAACTAGCTGACCTCTAAGCTCCCTTCCAACTCTGGATCCTAGGACTTTCAGAAGGATGACCCTATTTCCCACAGTCCCTCCTTGCCTCCTGCCTGAAAGCTGCAGGCTGTCCAGGATTATGAGAAGTGCCCCTGAGTAATTGCTTGTTTCCCCAACCAGGGAGCCCCCTCCAGTTCTACGTGGATGCTATCAATGCCCGGCACGTCAGCGCCTATGGGCCTGGGCTGAGTCACGGCATGGTCAACAAGCCTGCGACCTTCACCATCGTCACCAAGGACGCCGGCGAAGGTGAGTCCCAGGTGCCATGTTGGAAAAAGGGTACCATGGAGTCGGAAAATGTGCGGAAGAGGGGGCTTCATGAATTGCATATCTATGGGTCTTGAAGACTTCCTGGTATCTCGGGTGGGGGCACCAAATATCAGTGTCAGGGAAACTGGTATCTCCCCTCCTGCTTGTGAGCACCACAGAGGCATGTGTGAGAAACCAAACGCTAGATTAAGATGGGCCTTAAAGGTACAGGGAAAGGTTGCTAGCCTATAATCTCAATCTTGAGAAAGATCTTAGAGCAGTGTTTCTGAACCTTGGCACCTTGAAGCTGGGTGGACTTCAACTCCCAGAATTCCCCAGCCAGCCATGTCCATCCATCTTCAGGGTGCCAAGACTGAGAAACACTGTCTTAGAGAGTGATTGTCCATCCCAGTAGATAAGAGTAAGTGGGAGGCATGAAGGGTCTAATTCAGTCTTTCAGTCTTCCACCATCTGGTGTCCTCCAGATGCATTGGACCTGCTGCATGACGAAATCTGACCTATTTCGGTCGATTTCACAGGTTTGTGAGTTGGCCTCCTGGTTGAGGCAGGATGGAAGATTGATGTGGCTAGATGGTGTTCTGGCTTCCTTGGCATGTGGAGTGCAAGGATGATGTGGATGGACATCACTGCAGAGAAGTTTGGTGTGGGAAGAGAAGAAATGCATATGGCTTGTACTGAAGGACTTTGTATCTTGCATGAGTTTCATATGGATGGTCACCAGCCATTTCTTTAATGAGGAACCTTCACCCTCATTGAAACCAGAGATTGGTAATGTGGGAGTTGTAGACATAATGGCAAGAGTGACCAGCTGAGATGGTGTCTGTGGGATCTCAAAATCAATTAATTTTCTATTGGTAAGATTTCATGAAGTCATGAAAACTTCCCACCTGAATCCTTGTACAATTGGATGAGCTCATGGAGAGTTTTTTTGTTGGTATTCACATCAGGACCTGCTGCAGAACCTTTAAAGGGCTACCAGTGATCCCCAGATCACTGGTTAGAAACCCCTGCCTTAAAGCACAGCCAGGCTGCTGAGATGCTACGGAATATCTGTAGATATTCCAAGTGCTCAGGTGAAAGCATCTGCCGGGGAGCATAAATGGAGGAGACAGCCAATGGGAGTGGAACAGCTTATGTTGAAAACACACTTGTGCAAATGAGGAATGTAGGTGGGAAAAGCGGGCAAAGTGATGGGAGGCCAGGCAGGGTGGTGGGGCGGGCAAAGTGACACGCAGGGAGAGAGCTGGGGAGAGTGCAACAGGCAGGTCGAAAGGATTGGATAAGACTTGTCCAGAAGAAGAACACCCCTGTTTTTTAACCAGCCTCTGTCCCTCTCACAGGAGGCCTATCCCTGGCGGTGGAGGGCCCGTCCAAGGCTGAGATCACCTGCAAGGACAATAAAGACGGCACCTGCACGGTGTCCTACTTGCCCACGGCCCCCGGCGACTACAATATTATTGTACGCTTTGATGATAAGCACATTCCTGGTAGCCCCTTCACGGCAAAGATCACAGGTAGCCCTTCTGCTCTCTACCCCAACCTCACCTGCCTTCAGCCAAGCCTTGAACCCTCCCCTGACTGCTTCTCTCTCCCCTTCCTTCTGGTGCCAGGGGACGATTCCATGCGCACCTCTCAGCTGAACGTGGGCACTTCCACCGACGTGTCCCTGAAGATCACCGAGAGTGACTTGAGCCTCCTGACTGCCAGCATCCGGGCCCCGTCTGGCAACGAAGAGCCCTGTTTGCTCAAGCGCCTGCCAAACCGCCATATCGGTGAGCCACCTTTTATGGCTTGCGCTACCCTAGCTTTGGATCTCGGAAGGGGTGCCCGAGCGTGCCCTCGTGAATAGCCATGGGAGTTGGAGAGGATGAGGTTGGGCAGGCTGCAAACATCTGGAGGGCAGCAGAGATGGCGAGAGAGAGAAAACCAACCTCTAGCTCTTTGCTGCTCCTGGTGGCCATCTGGAGTTTTGCAGCAGGCCTAAAAAAAGAGAGTAAAAAGAGGGGGAGTTCAGGTTGTCCTTGTAGAGAGCAAGGAAGAGGACCTCCGTGAAAAAAATGCAGGAACCGTTCCCTAGGCCAAAGGGGCCGAAGCCTTTTTTAAGCCCAGAACATCCAGATAACATTTGGAAGCGGCTTAGGCAGACACCTCCCTAATTCACAGGAGGATAAGAAGGGGGGGAGATGCAGCAGAATCAGAATGGCAAGAGGCTGTTCCTATAGCCGATCTGAATAAAAGCAATTTTAGCCTGCTGGCAGAGTGGATTTCCTGGCCTGGTCTACCTGGTGGGGCTGTCCTCAGTTTTGCACGTCTGATCATGCTGTCCGTCCTCCTCCTTATAGTTCAGCGAATTAGGGAGGTGTCTGTCTGAGTTGCGTCCAAACATTATCTGGACATTCAGGGCTTAAAAGTTGCTTTAGGCCCCTTTGCCTAGGCGGCCGCACCTGCAGACCTTTGTCCAGGTCATCTTCAGTCCTTCCTTGGTCTAGTCCAGTGCTTCTCCACCTTGGCCACTTGAAGACGTGTGGACTT